ATATGCTCCCGATGACAATATATATGCTCCCAATAGCCAAATCGGTCGGTTTTCGATCCCGGCTTGATGCAATGGGACGTCTGTATATATATATATATATATATATATATATATGTATGTATGTATGTGTGTGTATCTATTTCTTTCATGTCACATTTCTTTCATTTTAATTCTATTGTTATCTACCTTAATAAAATCAGGAGTAGTCATATGGTTCTAACTTAGAGCCTTTTGGATATGTAGCTCTGAATAACCAAGGGAAGAAGAGAGACATTTAAACTTGATCACTACCCACGCCATTTCATCCTCAACTCTAGAAAACGAGCTTACAAAATCCACCATCATAATCCTACCCTCTAATACTCTTTCTACTAAATCTGAAAATAAATTATTTATCCCTACTACTTAAATCTTTAACCCTATACCCAAGACGATCGAAGATATATTTAAGAAGGAAAAAAATATTTCAACACCAACTCAAATGCCGGTACTTATCAAATAAATTGTTTACAAAGTAAAAACGTTTACATCGTAGAGGTATCACGTGATCTCAAAGCTCCTATTTGTGAGCACAAAAGAGATTTTACGATTCAAAGTCTCTTGTAATACACAGGAACAAAATTGGCCATACCTTTGATTTTACTAATGCTACCCTAATTAAAAAAGAACAGTTTTTTAAACAGAAATTACTTCGAAAGACTACTAATAACAATATCACCAATTATAAACACTCGTCAAATACATTATATTACATCAACAACCTTTATTGAATGTATTCTTAAAGAATCTAACGTATGTTTGTCTAAAACAAACGTTAAAAATTCTCCCAAAGAAAGACCAAGACCAATTCTTATGCCGGTGCTTATCAAAAAAAATTGTTTACAGTGGAAAAGAGTTTATACTGGTGAGTTATTTATGTGATCTAAAAGCCTGTATCTACGAACACAAAAGAGATTTACGTTTAGACAACCATTCAAACTTTTTCGTAATACACAGGAAGAAAACTGTCCATAACTTGATTTTACTAATACCACCCTATTTAAAAATGAACGTAATTCCTTACGTAGAAAGTACTTCGAGGCACTACTAATAACAATATTAGCAACTATAAACACTCGTCAAAAACATTATATTACATCTCCAAACTTTACAGAATCCATTCTTAAAGAATGTAACCAATGTTTGTCTAAAACAAACGGTGTGTACGTCAAAATGTTCAAAAATCAACACGCGAAGAACCATTAGACATACTCTAATATAATGTCTATTTATTTTAATTTTAATCGTTTCCAATTCACAGATTAATTTTTTAGTGTTGAAATTAAACATATTAAGGAAGGAACCGCAGATTTTCCCATTCCTTTTATTTTTACCCAAGTACTTTCAATTTCAACCAAGATGATCTTTGGGTATGAATTACTAAAACAAAAACTTATGTAATAGATAGGTGTGATTTTTTTTTTTTTAAAAGTATGAAACGCGCTCTGTTGAAAATACTTTTAAAAATATAAATTAATTTACCTCCCTTATTAATGCTAATGTTTAAATAAACAGAGCACATTTCATTCGCATTTACAAAATAAATAAGAAATAATAGGCATATGTCTCGATCATTCAACCAAACATGCTTGAATGAAGATATACTTCCTAAAATATACACACACACACACACACACACACACATATATATATATATATATATAAATACGTATATATATATATATATACATGTATATATATATATATATATATATATATATATATATATATATATATATATATATATATATATATATATATATATATATATATATATATATATATATATATATATATATATATATATATATACATAAATTCATGTATATATACATACACACACACACACACACACACACACACACACACACACACACACACATATATATATATATATATATATATATATATATATATATATATTCAGTCAATCTTTTAGGATTTTCACTAATGATTTTTGTCAAGTTGCATCTCCATGTTATGTCATTAATTTGATACAACTTGTTGTCCAATCGTTGCTGAATTTTTTTTATTCTTTATCTTCATATATAATATATAAACATTATTTATTCTTTATGTAACAGCTTTGGTAATGAGTGGTGAAAACATTGCAATTAGAGCCATTTCACACTACCTGTGGAAAACAGACCGATAGCAAGGGCCGCGGCAAAAGAAATTAATGATGTGGCAAGCCCAGGAACTATCAAAGAACGTGCGACACAAAACTCGTTTTGATGTTGCAAGAAAGATACAACCAGCCTCGAAAACAAACCAAGGACAGGAAGACCTTATGTTGATTTTCCAAGCGTAGCTTAGATGTGGCACAAGGCCCTAAAGTACGGGCACCCAGTGAGGATCGAACTCATTACTCAGTCGTAATTCATTCTAGCGAGACAAGCTTGTTAACCATTACACCACCTCGAGGTCCCCCGGGAGGCATTATGTTGTGGAAGATGAGAACTTACTTGAAATAACTGAGCAACTGCGAATCACAAGCACTCGTACGTCGTCGGCAGAAACTGGTCCTTCAAAACCACCATCAGTCGATACCACCATGAGCTCGGTCTTGCACACAAAACTTGTTTATCTGAGGTAAGGTGACAGGGCGTAACTTAACGTAACTAAGGAACGAAGTTACAAGAAGAATAAATCTACCATTCGTCCATGCTTAGAATATTGCTGGCAGAATATTGCTGGCAGAATATTACCCGGTGCTTCTTCTGTTTAATATGCTCTTTGATAATACCCAAAGAAGAAATTGTTGGTCCTGATCCGGCGGCCAGGCTTCAGTCACTTACCCACCGTCGTAAGATTGTCTTTCTGTACCCTTTTTATATCATGGTAATTGTCCGCTTCGCTATTGTACCTTTGTGTATGTATTTAAGCGTAGTACTAAACTGGCATCGAGAGCCTATCAATTTACAATTGAGCTGGTTAAATGTAACCGTAAGTTCTATGCTAGCAGTTTCTTTTCTCGCACTTCTTGTAGAACTCCCTTTCGGCTCGATGCTTTCCAGCCAACAGCAAAAATTTAAATGCAATCTACTGTCCTTCTGATGCAATCTAATGCAATTTAAATGCTATCTACTGTCCTTCTGATAACTGTTTTCTCTCTCTGCTCATTATTAATGTTTCTACTAATTCTTCCGCGCCATGTAACCTTGCGTTTTAGGGGCTTTAAAGCATTCCTTATAAGATACCAAGATATATATATATATATATATATATATATATATATATATATATATATATATATATACAAATGTAAAAGAACGTAAAGAATAAAACTTCAAACGTACGTACATAACATTATTTTTAAAAGGTTCAGTACAAGAGTAGAGCAATAAATGTCGTTGTAACTTGCGTGTTCCAATGTAACTGTTTATAATATATATATATATTATAAACATTTACATTTAGGCTCTACTTTTTGTATATTTGGGCTCTACTTTTGTATCGAGCACTGTTTTTTTAAAAAATAATAACAAAAATACTAAAGAAATTTGGATTATTTACCTAACGAGTTCTTCCTTATTTTCTATATCACACACACACACACACACACACACACACACACACACACACACACACACACACACACACACACATATATATATATATATATATATATATATATATCTGATAAGACAATAATGGTACCCATTAATACTAGTAATAAATATGCGTAAAATGATGAAAATTACGAAACTCTCAGTCGGCCTTTGATAAGTATTGATGGTTATTATATATATATATTATATTATAATATTATATATCATAATAATAATAATAATAATTCTACTGCAAGAAACTGGTATGAGCATCAACCAAACTCTGTTACACAGATAAGACCTGCAACAATTGAATGGGACTTTACACTACACACAGGCAGAACAATCAAATCTAATCGTCCAGGCATCGTGATTAAAGACCACAAGAACAGAATGTAGATTATTATGGACATGGAAGTCCCCGTAGATTAACATCAGTTGTTCCAGTTATGTTTGCTGCTCTCTCATTGATTGGAAAAGGTTCCGACAGACTTATTGAGGGGATTTCTGGTAGACCAGGCCTTAAAGAAATACAAAAAGATTGTAGTCATAAGTACAGGTCACAAATTACAAAGAGCTTTATGTAAAATGTGTGTGATCTTAGGGATTTTTTTTTGTTTTTCAAAAATGATCAGTGGAAAATGTAATGAAACCATTTCTGACTTTAAGTCTATACTACTACTAGTACTACTACTGCTACTACTACTACTAATGATAATAATAATAATAACAATAAATACTTATTTACTAAGGTTTGGTTTGGCGCAAGGAAAAAAAGACCTAATCATCCAATGGGGATGAAAATCGATATTCTGTTATAATGATTAGTTATTTCAGCGTTCTAATCATTCTTCTACAAATTCGATCCTAATAGATTATGATCGGTAGATGATTTTTCTTTTTTTTGTGGGGGTGGGGGTGGGGGGTTTGACCGGTGATAATTTGCGTATCTTTTACGCCAGAATTAGTACTCAAGTTGCTCAAACAGTTACTTAAAATTGTTATGCTTCTGTCTAATAAACCTTAAAGACATTTAAATATATCTAAGATTCGAAGAATTGGTAGAATTCTTGGATACAATATAAAATAACGTATTTAGTACCGTATTTGTTTAAGTTTACGTTTAATTCACTTTATCTACTTTGTGAGTCAAGTTATTTATAAACGAGTTGATAATCAAACATCACGTAGATACATAGACTTATTGGGATTAAATTGCCGGGATTTAAACCTTAGATATTACCAGGCTTCATTTCTGTTTACAAACCATAGCGCTACGCCTTTGCCACAGTAAAGAATTAGAAACTAGAAATTGCTTATCCATGAATGGTTATTTTCTTCTGTGATGAAAGAGAGACAAAATAAATAAATAAAAATAAATCAAAAGTGAAATTCTTCATTCGTAACGAGATTATTGCCGTCTTCTGTTCACCATTCTCGATGTTTGTTCTCTTTCTTCTTATTTATATCATAATCTTTTTATTCCTTCTTTTTCTACTTCTTCTTCTTCTTCTTGTCTATTTGATGTATCTTCCTCCTTTTTTATTCTTCTTTATTTTTCGACTTGTGCATCTTATATATTCTCCTTTTCTTTCTTTTTTTTCCTCTTTTCCATTTCTTTTAATTTTATTGTCTATTTTATATATTTTCCTTTTTTTTACATCTTTCTTTTTTCTCCTATTCTTTTCTATTTTCTGTTCTTTTATATTTCATACATTGTCTTCCTTTCTTCTTCTTCGTTGGCTGCTGATGCTGCTTTTATCCACCTTTCTTTTTCAATTATTTTGACTTCTTTTTATATTTTCTTGTGCGCTTTACACATTTCTTTCTTTCTTTCTTTCTTTCTTTCTTTCTTCGTTTCCTGTCTATATATTTCTTCACTTCCTCTTCTTTTTCTTCTCATAGCCTTTTTCCTTTTTGATTCTATTAGTCTTTCTTTTTATATTTTCTTGATCATTTCATATATTTTCTTTCTTTCTTTCTTTCTTTCTTTCTTTTTCTTTTCTTGTCCATGTATTTTCCTGTTCCTCCTCCTTCCTTTTTCTTCTACTTGTAGCCTTTTTTCTTTTTGCTTCTTTTGTTCTTCTTTTTATATTTTCTGGTCCATTTTATACATTCTTCTTCTTCTTCTTCTTCTTCTTCTTCTTCTTCTCTGGTGATTGTTTCGATTTCCTCTATAACTGTCTTTTTTCCTTTCTCATTATCGAATTCTCTGTAATTTTAACGAGATTTTTACGCTGATTGCTCCTTTTGTTCGAGATCAGCGCGGCGTGTCTTTTAGGTTTTTCTTTGGCGGCAATCTTACCGCCTGTTCTTTCGAGTGGAAAGTCGATTGCCACCCCTACCCACCTACACACACCTACCCCGCAGCGCTCGCCGCCAATTTTATATACGTACGCGAACTGATCTCTTCATCCTTTCCCTTCCTGACTTAGCCTCAAATGATTTCCAACTCTCCACGCACCATGACTAGTATTTTATTTTAACCATTTACTCACCCTCCCCACCTCAAACGCTCATTATTGTTGTTAAAGGAGCAACTTACCAGCTTTTCACGATTGTAGCCCGCAGATCACATAAAGTTTTTTTTCCTTTTAAAAAAAAATAAAAAATGATTCTGTCGATTCCAAATCCATTTTTCGGCCATTCTTTGTGGATTTGTTCATATAACTGTTGGCTAACGCATACTTCTAGATCGTTCTTCAAAGCTCTAAGGATCAAATGACTAGTATCGGTATTTTTGCTTGTTTCATATAACAAGAGATTCATTTCACGCATAAACACACACGCACACATAGATCCTGTCTGAAGTTATGCAAATCAAATAAACCTCAATAACTCAAAAACTTCTAAACCAATATTTGTCAAATTTATACTCGTCTATTTCCGCCCACAGTAAAATATACAACTCTGGTTTCCGGGGTTAGATCGTAGTCCAGCTGGAATCTTTTCTTGCTGTGCTGGTCAAACTCTTCATTTTCGGGAGGAGGGGATCCCTAGACGAGGATATGTCGGGATACAGCTATCCGACCCCGTTTTATACTGGAATTCTTGGCCGAGCCTACGGGCTCGGATTCCCCCACTTTAAAACTCGGCCTTGTGCCACATCGTACCTTGTGGGGAGGTGGGCACCTCGGCGTGGTGTAATGGTTAGCAAGCTTGTCTTGCTAAATCAGTTACTACTGAAAAGTGAGTTCGATCCTCACTGGATGCCCCATATTTTCGGCCTTGTGCCACATCTAAGCAACGCTTGGAAAATCTCTACCTTGTGGGGAGGTTGGTAAATATATCCTTAGTAAAATATTTAAATAAATTTTCTGTCATTTTTCATGGTTGTTTTATTTTATCTTTTTTTTTAGATATTTGCAATTTACGAAAATGGACTGACTGAAGTTAGTATTCAGCTTAAACTAATATTAGCTTAAGACCTCCAAAATTCAATAAAAACTGTTTCTTCTTTTTGTCCATAATATATATTAGAACGTGGATAAAGAATGCATGCGTCGCGAATCTGATTAGCTAGGTCTAGGATAGAACGTGTCGGCTAGGCTTACCCTACTGCTCCCTTTGGCCTTGTGCCTCAATTCTTTCAGTTAAAGCAATGAATAAATATCTTAGAACATGGGTAGCGGGACGCATCTGACAATTGCTGAGAAACAGAAAATAACGATCATTGTGTGAAGGAATATCCGCATTAGAGATATGAAAGCAGATAATCGAACAGTAAAGAAAGCTGTTGAAAATATAATTAAGTTGAGAATTCAAAACATAGGAAAAGGAATAGGCTTTAAAAATTTCCTTCCTCAAAATGGACTTAAACTAAAGCGAGTTATAACGAAGCAACCACTTTTCATCAGCGCTCAGATCTTTGAAAAGGGTTAGAATTGAGGGAGTCAAGAATAACAAAAGGTGTAGAACTTTTGTGAATCGGTATCTGTGGAAAAATCTGCTGGAATTCTCGACCAAACTATTATTGACCATTCATAGTCAATGAAACAGTTACACTGAACAGTTCGATTTTATGAACAAGATTTTGATTGCATAGTACAAGTCCCAGTCTTGCAGTTTCAACGTGAAGTGTGTATTTATGCACGACAATGCTCCTTCTCATGTATCTAAGCTTACCATTAAATTCTTTGAGTATAAAAGATATACAGGAGAGAGGATAATGGAAAAGCCACTGATCTGAATCAAATCGAAAATCCATGGTCAACTGTGAAGATGAAATTAAATAAAGGTGGCAAACAATATAAAAGCAAATCAGAGCGACGGGAAGCAATTAAAAGTATCATGTCGGAAATTGAACCTACTGAAGTAAAGAAATGAACAAAAGTACGGATAATAGCTTATTGGCTCTTATTGAGCAGAAGTGTCATTATATTATTTCTATATTATATTTTTTCTATTATAGATGTTGTTCAATTTTTTTTATGATTTTGTTACCTTTATATTGAAGTAAAATGCGATTATATGGTTTCGCCTCGAAACTTACGGCAGGCTTTTAGAATACTTCAAATAACTCCAATAACTTTAATAAAGCATATTGATAGTACCTAAAATTTTAACTCAGATTTGTTTGGACATCTAAATTGATCTAAAATTGTAAAATATTGTTTCAATCCAAATTTGAATTACTGAAGACACCGTTTATATATATATATATATTAAAAAGAAGAGAAGAGAGGTGCCTCTAGAAATTCGGATTACCGACACACAAACAGAGAATGTCTCATATCGAGAATATTTAACATTGAACATAAAGAAAAAATTAATTATTTTAATAATATGTGGAAATATATATATATATATATATATATATATATATATATATATATATATATACATATGAGACAAAGAACAGATAAAGTACAATTCCGTTGTTCGTAGCATTTACTTTTTTTAAAAAATGTTTAATATAAAGTAGAGCAATATATATATATATATATATATATATATATATATATATATATATATATATATATATATATATATATAGCTTATTTATATGTAACTTTATTTTTATAGATACAAATATTTAAGTAAATGGTATGTTTATAATAAACAATATTAACAACATTTACTGGCCTCAATGTCCGAGAGGAAACATATTTTCTTTGAGAATTCTCGGACAATCAGGCCGGTAAATGTTGTTAATATTGTTTATTATTAACATACCATTTACTTACATATTTGTATGTATAAATATTTGTATGTATAGAAATAATTTATTACACACACACATACACACACACACACACACATATATATATATATATATATATATATATATATATTATCCCATTTCCATAAGTGGGAGTGCATGAGGTGGGTTACCAATCTTTGCAGTTGGTACGGCTAATGAGTTTTAAGATTGTAAGACCGATTTTTGTCTGGAATCGGCAGAGACAATGTAGACAGATAATTGTTCTCGAATGATGGGACACTTCTCCTCACTGCATTCGCTCTTTTCTTGGATTTAGTTCTTTCCATTTCGAAAGGGGCTATATATATATATATATATATATATATATATATATGTGTGTGTGTGTGTGTGTGTGCGTGTGTGTGCGTGTGTTTGTATTTGTGAGTATTCCTTGGTCTTGTTCCGTTTGTGGGTTTTCTTGCCAGTTGGGTTTGTGGACAGTGTAGATCCATTGTGTGACAATGGATCTCCAGAGATCCCGGTCCATTGCCCTCGATTCTCAGCTGTTGATAACGATGTACCATTTCTTCCTGTATTCTTTTAGAAACATACTTGTATCTCTTCTTTTGACCTCTTCTTTTCCGATTTGTTTTTTTGAGTTGGGAGTAAAAGAGTTGCCTTGCTCGGCAGGTGCCATCATCCATTCACACTAGATGTCCACTCAATCGAAATTTTTTTTTTTTTTTTTAATACGAGGGCTTCAGATGCTGGTCATTAGATGCTGAAGCGTGTACTTCTGTTTTGCCAGCTGACCTTCAAGATACTTCAAAGACAACGCTGGTGAAATTTTTCAAGGGATTTCAGATATCGTCCATAAGATGTCCAGCTCTCCCTGAGGCATAGAGGAAAGTTGCAATCACGTACTCTATCATTATGGTGTCTGCTCCGATGTCCCTTGCAAAACTCTATTTCGAAGACGACCAAATGCTGATCCTGCACCGGTGTTGCATCTCATCTTGAAGGTCAATGACTGAAGATATATGCATCTTTGTGCGTATATATGTATGGAAAGTGTCTGAAAACCATACCCGGGGTTGACCCAAGCTTTGTATGTGAAATCGGGTAGGCGGAACACTCAGGGGACCATCGATAGCTGTGTTAGCAGGAAGTCACACGTCATCTTGACCGAGATTTTAAATGTACTGGCCTTGTTCAGCTTGTTGATCACGCTAGATAACACGCTCTCTCCCAGAAACTGTAACTAAGGTCTGCTTAGCATAGTTGCAGTATAAACCAAAGGTGGGCTCTGTGGATGTTGAACAAACACAAATGTGCCTGAGCAAGCGTCTGAATTAAGGATTAGCTAGGCGCCCTAGTAGACGTGTATCCTCGAATACGTGTGGCCAGCTATTTATTTATTTATGTATATGAGCGAATGTATGTATATATGCGCGGAAAACATTATATTGTTTTGCAGACACTTGCCACTAAAAGGACACTTATCATATGCTTTGTTGCTACAAGTGGGTTTGAGTTGTCTGCGGGAATTCTTGATTATAGTTTTGTTGTGTTTTTAAATTATTTTCAACAACAACAACAAAAAAAAACATAGTAAAAATCAGTACTTCCAAAACGTATAGCCTTCCGCATTATAACCAAGTCATATATGTGTGTGGGCTGGCGTTTCTGTTCTAAAAACAAAACAAAAACTCATCTAAATAAGAAATGGAGTGAAGGATAGAGACTCGGATTGAGGAATCGGAGAGCCGAGTTCGAATTTCAGATCCATTACATTTACTTACATGCCAATACCCTTGGGAATGGTATGACTCCTCTTCTTCTCCCCTCCCCCATCTTTGGGTAAATAGTAGGAGAGACTGGGTTTTATAACCTTGGGTGGCAACCGATCTAGGAGAAGGAAAACTCTGAATTCAAACCGGTTTTGAGAGGGTTGGGCTGCAGTTGAAGTGTTGACCCTATGACCCTAAGAGATCGCGGGTTTCGTGATCGTGTGCGTGTGTGCATGTTTCAAAATATCTTAGCGTTAGCAATATTTTTTGCTATACTTATGGATAAATATTTTTCTCGTTAATCTAAAAAATACAAGCGTTTACCTTCAGTTTATCTTTCCTTCCTAATCAAAGCCCCTTTATTTCTGGGCTTTTCTTTCTTTCTTTCTTTCTTTGCTTTCCAGTTTCAACAGCCTTTTCTTTCTTTCTTTCTTTCTTTTTTCTTTCTTGTATTCTTTGTAAATTAATCCTTACGAATTATCTTTCTTCTTTCTTTCTTTTATTAATAATTCTTTGGGGTCGCTTTTCTTTCTTTCTTCCAAATGAATTCTTCGAACACGTTCTTTCTTTCTTTCTTTCTTTCTTTCTTTCTTTCTTTCTTTCTTTTCCCTGTACAGATTCCTTTTCTCTCTTCTTCTTTCTTTTTTTAATTTTCAATCGCTCATTCCAAATTGAGTGACGCTTTGTTTTTTTCTTTCTTTACTTTTATTGCAATAGTTTAATTTTCACGTTTCTTTCTATTTCTTTCTTGTCTCTTGTTTTCTCTTTTCTTTCTTTTACTTCTTCTATTTCCTTTTTTTATCTTAATTTTTGGTTTCCCGTCTTGATACAGATTTTTCCTTTTCTTTCATCTTCCATTTCAGCTCTTTATTTGTTTGTTTGTTCCTTTCTTTTTCGCCTGAAACACCTTTTCTTTCTTTCTTTCCTTCTTTCTTTCTTTCCTTCTTTCTTTTTTTCTTTCTGTCTCAAACTTCCTTGATATATTTCTTTCCTTCTTTCTTCCTTTTTCTCCTCTCAAAATCATTTTCTTTCTTTCTTTCTTTCTTTCTTTCTTTCTTTTCTACATACAGATTTCCTTTCTTTACTATTTCTTCTTTCTTTCATTTTTCGTTACTCCTTCCAAATTCAGGCTCTCTTTTTTAATTGTTTCTCGCTATTCATTTTCCTTTTCTTTTATATTCTATTTCAACTCATTCTTTCTTTCTTTCTTTCTTTCTTTCTTTCTTTCTTTCTTTCTTTCTTTCTTTCTTTCTTTCTTTTTTCCAGTCTCAAACTTCCTTGATTTCTTTCTTTCCTACTTTCTTCATTTTTCTCCTCTCAAAATCATTTTCTTTCTTTCTTTCTTTCTTTCTTTCTTTCTTTCTTTCTTTCTTTCTTTCTTTCTTTTCGCCTAATTTTTTTCTCTCAATGTTTTCAATCTCGCTTTTGAAAACATTAAAGTCTTTATTTTTTTCCGACTTTATCATCCAATCTTCTGTTTTTCTGAATTTAGCCACAAGTTGTTTTGCGCTGTAAAAATACCTACACTCAAAATCTCTAAACTCAAATAACACAAAATCGATATCGTTTTTTCATAGTGTGTGTCGGTAGCAATCTTTAAACTAAGATAAGCAGTAATTTTGGATCCAGGACTCTTCCATATATAGGCATGTGCGTGGCAGTAGCAAAACACGTGGTTAATATTCGCTATCATAAAAAGCGTTGTTTTATGATTCATGTTTATCGTCATAATAAAGGCAATTTGCATTGAATTGCAAAATACATTCTAACGAATTGATTTCAATGATCAATTTAAACGATTTTTTTAAAACAAAATAAAATATACAGGTTGATTTATGAAAAAATAACTCATTCTTTGATTTCAACATACTGAGATAAACATGTATTTGATTATGTCAACAAAGAGGTTTATGTATCTCGAGAGTAATTCTCTCTACTCATTCTTATACATACATACATACATATATATATATATATATATATATATATATATATATATATACATATATATATATATATATATATATATATATATATATATATATATATAAAGAGAGACATATACACACATCATCTATCTATCTATCTATCTATCTATATATATATATATATATATATATATATATATATATATATATATATATAAGTAATGTTACATCAGAGCGTAAAAAGGGTGAAAAAACGAATTTAAATTTACATGATATTTAAAGTTAAATTCATTTTTTTCACCTTTGGAAGTGTGGTCTGATGAGCCAGAGAAAAAGAAATTCCCTAGGGTAAATAAATTATAACCAATGGACCCTTAAAGTTGTCTGTTTTCATTATATATATATATATATATATATATATATATATATATATATATATATATATATATATATATCCCCTAACTCAATATATATGCGACATTTCCTATATATATATATATATATATATATATATATATATATATATATAGTGTAGGAAAAGTCGCGCATCACCGAATTTAATGGATAGGTCAAAGGGGTCCTGTTGAGTGGCCAGCGAGGTCATCTGACCTCACACACTTGGAATTTTTTCTGTGGAGACATTTGTAATCAGTTGTTTATTAGAGGCGCCCCGAGAAATATTGAGGAACTCTGATTCTATCTAGGCTTTATTCGCGTATCTAGAATCTTCCAAACATTCTATTTCTAATTTCTCTATTTTACAACTACTTCATCAGGGAAAACTTTTTTGTAATAACAAGTAGAACTCAATGGAATCCCTTATTATAGAAATGCATCCTCGTAACAATTAGGACCATGGAATATTAGTGTTTAAGCCTTTTTATTATATCCTTACTCTGTCCTGGACATTGAGTTCTACCTGGATTCTTCCTCTTGGAATTTTTATTCTAAAAATATACATGTGTGGGTATTTATATATTTCGCATATGTATGTATATTTACCACTAATATTATCTATCTATCTATATATATATATATATATATCATCCACAGACAGACTGTTTTGCTGTATCACAGATAATCAGTGTGGCTAGATATCCGATTGCCTCAAGCCAAGATCAATACACGACTGATTTGGCATCAGTCGGAGATTTTCCCACTAAGCTATCGGCAGAGAGGAAGGTGAATTCTTACGTATTTATTTTGAATAAACACACCAGAGGGCTCGATTAATAAAAGAGCTGTGCATTATCAGCAGTAGCAGTGACTGTTTACAAATTCGCGCTTTCTCTCTAAAGTGTTCGACCGAAATTTATTTTTGTGGGGGGGCTTATCATCCGTTTGAAAAAAAAAGTAAAGGGGTCTTTTCCTTGTTTTCTGTTTAGGTTTGGGTTTCCAGTTCCTTCTAAATTATTTTTTATGCTCTTTCATTCCCATTAGCCCCTTGCGTCTTAGTGACTTTATTGCCTTGCTTAGGGTGAACTGATTTGAAACAACTGTCTTCATTTGCCCAATGACGAGTATATCTTTTTAAATGTATTTTTAAAAAAATTATTTCCATTTTTTATAGCTTGAGTGTGCACATTTGTATGAAATAAATTTGGAATAGCTATAATTTGACTTGCTTTGGTCGAAAATCACAACAAAATAAAAAATAAAAACGCATTCAACATTTTTCTTTTGATGATGACTTTGGGGAAAATTACAGAATCAGAATGAAAGTAATAAATTTATGGAACCTGTAGCAGTGATGAAAGTAGTTGCCTGATCTTGTCGGGAATGGTATGTGAAGTTTCAAAGGATTGTTTTGAAGTCAATAGTAAAGAACGCGCTTGAAGACATCAGAATTTTAAAGAATGGTAAACTGGATGGACTTATAAAGAAAGATGCAGGGAAACTTGCAGGAAAGTTAAAGATTAATCCGTCAACTCTTCTGGATCATTTATTTTCTTGACAAGTAATTGCATGACAAATCTTCTCTTCAGGTTGCAATTGTAGAATCTGGATCCAGTCGTTGTCTTTTATCCCTCCTGCTTTTGTAGTCATGTGACCGTCACATATTTTTAACTATGTGTTTTTATATCGGGCCAGATATTTAAAAAGAAAAAAATAGTTGCAATTAACGGAATATTCTCCTTAACGATCATCAAATAAAAACTGGAGGTGTCCATTTACCATGAACGACAACTAAACAAGAACAACAGAAATATCGCCGAGGAAATGTGTGTGAAAGGTAAGGCTGGAGACATTTGCAGCAAACTTAACATGCAATGCAGTGCAAAGGAATAGAAATCCAGAAGTGAATAACTATGCTATGTAATATGATTAAAAGATTTTGTTAAAAAGAGCGGCAACATTTGAATTAACCTAATATGCTGGGAGGTGTAGTATTAAAAAAGTAAGGATAGTATTATTGTCGAACAATAATGCCATAAATTGGGATGTATGGAAGTGGTTGTCAGAAAATAGAAGGGATTTTTTATTCAATGTCGCATATCTATCTATCTATCTATCTATCTATCTATCAAATCTCTCTATTTCAGTTCATTCGTACATCTATCGGCCTATTCATACTTATCTGTCTATCTATCTATCTATCTATCTATCTATCTATCTATCTATCTATCACGATACTGGCATTGTAAAACCGAGAAAATTTAGACATGTAATATATATATATATATATATATATATATATATATATATAGAGAGAGAGAGAGAGAGAGAGAGAGAGGGGAGATAGAAAGAGAGAGGGGATATGAGGATTGAGATAGATAAATAGATAAGAAGATTGAGACAGATAAGTAGATAGATAGATATGAACAAACTAAGATAGACAGATCTATAAATATTAACAATCTGTGATAGATAGATAGATAGATAGATAGATAGATAGATAGATAGATAGATATCTACGGACGGACATGTACAATCAAAATAGATTAAGTGGCAGATTTTTATGGACATAGACCGATTGATGAGCAAATGCATTTATAGAAACTTATTCCGATATGTGGATGTAAACAGATTGATATCATTAAATATTTAAGAACGGATTGGAATCAGTGTAGACATGTCATGGAATACAAGAAGCTTACTTATAATCTAGCTCTTGATTAAATATTAAAACGTGTATGAAATATAACAGGCATCTTTACAAAATTGCTTGAGGAATATCATAGAAATAAATGACTTCACACCACACACACACACGCGCGCACGTATACGCACACGTTTACCCAATCAGTTTGCTTGTAACAATTGCGCATATCAGGGCCGCAGATATATTGGAAATATGTCCACCCTGAATACTTTTATTTACTAATGGCGAAAAAGAAATATTTGCATAACTTTTATATAACTGAATTGTTATGGCCGGAAGACTAAATCAGAATTTTTCTGAAATGTTACAGTTTGGGGGAGTAGACAGTGAAGTGAACTATAGAAAGGTCAAAGTTTATTTATAGGAGAAGTGAAAAGAGAATTTCATTGCGAGTTCGAGCCATAGGATAGGCTAGTGTGGCACACAGTGGAGATAGCTTTAATCACGATGAAGGAAGGAACCTGTCAGAAAATAGAGAACATGCATGAAAAGATCATCGCCGAAAACCTTTTCAGTCGGTATGTGACCATCGAAACTTGACCCTGTATAAAAAAAAAAGTTTTCCGACTAATTCATAATATTTAACAAGGCGCGAATAGGGTACGTGATCATTTTTAAGCCTTTGGCAGCATTGTGGAAAAGCATCTAGCCACTGTAGGTTCTGTGAGAATTTGGACAATATTCTGATATAAAGAACTGACCCTGAACAAAGGTGTAACAATTACTGGAACTTCACTGAGGGCCAAAATCAGAAAGTATAAAAAAAGGTGTCTGGCACCATATCTGTGGTGCAGCTGCTTAATACTCACTTTTCAGCCATGACAGAATTCGAAAACATCTACCTATCCTTGTGGGTGATGAAATATTTTCCGAACTGCCACCCCTTTCCTACAGATTAAACGACGTAAGTCTCCCGCATTATTATCGCTATTGCCATGGCAAATGTTATAACAAGATTCATTCCTTTGTTCCACCAATTCAGGTCCTTGCAGCCAATACAAATCATACCATTCGTATTGTGCTGGTAAGCAGAATGTTCCCTTCGGAGAGCTTTTCACCTCAAGAAAGGCACTTAAATGAAGGGGGTTACTGAGAGTTAAGAGAGTCTGAGGAAATACTATAAAGAAGGGAGAACAATAAAAGAACGGGAATTTTTTTAAGCATTTCACCCCAAACTAGGCATGAGTGTCACTAGCATGCAGGGGTGACTGAGAGTGAAAGTGGGAGCAAAATGTGGGTGTAGAGGGATTGAGGAAAGGGAAAAAAGAAAAAGGTCAAGGCAAGAGAAGATGGCGATTGTCGTTGCATTTACATTTTTGAAGATTGTAGTTATTAGGGAAGTAAGTGAAATGAAGGGAGTTCC